TGATAGCGTTTTTCTTTTTTTTTTTTGTCATTTTTTGCAGGCATGCCCAGAAAAATGTAAGGATCGGGTCGGTAAAATTTTATAATTTTTTGGCGTCGTTTTTATTTTATTTTATTTTTCAAATATGACAAAGAAAGAAAATCATAAAAAATAGAATATTCATCGAAAAATGGTGTCGTTTGTTTAATTAATTCCTACAAATTGTATATCAATTTTAGAATGCAAAACATAAATAAAAATGTAAATTTTTTCCCCATCCCTGCCCCTGGATGCCCCACTACTCGGCGCGGGGGCTTTTTAACAGTGTTTTCCTTTTTTGTCATTTTTTGAGACCACTTTTTGCAGACATGCCCAGAAAAATATAAGAATCATGTCTACAAAATTTCACAATTATTTGACGTCATTTTTATTTTATTTTATTTTTCAAAAATAAAAAATAAAGAAAATCATAAAAAAATAGAATATTCATCAAAAAATGGAGCCGCTTGTTGCATTAATTCATAAAAATCGTATATTAATTTTAGAATGTAAAACATAAAAAAAAATTTAAATTTTTGGCCCATCCCAATCCCTGGGCGCCTCACTACGCGGGCCGATGGCTTTTTGACATTGTTCTTTTTTGTCATTTTTGGAGGCCATTTTTTGTAGGGAAGCCCAAAAAAATATGAGGATCGTGATTGTAAAATTTCATAATTTTTTTATGCCGATTTTATTTTAGTTTATTTTTCAAAAACCAAAAATAAAGAAAATCATAAAAAATAGAATATTCATTGAGAAATGGTGCCGCTTGTTTCATTAATTCCTAAAAATCGTATCTTAATTTTAGAATGCAAAACATAAGTAAAATTGTAAATTTTTTACTAATCCCAGTCCCTGGGCGGCCCACTACACGGGGAGGGGGCTTTTTGACAGAGTTTTACTTTTTTGTCATTTTTTGATGTCATTTTTTTGCAGGCATGCCTAGAAAAATGTAACGATCATTTCTATAAAAGTTCATAATTTTTTAAAGTCGTTTTTATTTTATTTTATTTTTTAAATACGAAAAATAAAGAAGATCATAAAAAAATAGAATATTCAGTAAAAAATGGCGCCGTTTGTTTCATTAATTCCTAAAAATCATATATTAATTTTAGAATGCAAAAGATAAATAAAAATGTAGAATTTTGACCCATCTGGGCCCCTGGGCGCCCCACTATGCGGGCCGGGGCTTTTTTCATTTTTTTGTCATTTTTTGAGGCCATTTTTTTGCAGACATGCCAGGAAAAATGTGAGGATCGTGTCTGCAAAATTTCATAATTTTTTAATGTTGTTTTCATTTTATTTTATTTTTTAAAGATAAAAAATAAAGAAAAATCATAAAAAATACAATAGTCATCAAAAAATGGCACCACTTGTCGCATTAATTCCCAAAAATATGAAAAATAAATAATATCATAAAAATAGAATATTCATAAAAAAATGGCACCATTTGTTGCATTACTTTCCAAAATCGTTTGTTAATTTTAGAATGGAGAACATAAATAAAAATGTAAATTTTTGACCCATCCCGGCCCCTGGCGCCCTAGTACGCGAGCCGGGGGCTTTTTGGTAGGTTTTTTGTCATTTTTTGAAGCCATTTTTTGCAGGCATACCCAGAAAAATCTAAAGATCGTGTATGCAAAATTTCAAAACTCTTTGACATCGTATTATTTTATATTTTTTTCAACGATGAAAAATAAAAAAAAAATCATAAAAAATAGAATATTCATCAAATAATGGTCCGGCTTATTGGATTAATTCACAAAAATCGTATAATCATTTTAGAATGCAAAACATAAATAAAACTGTAAATTTTTTATACATCCCGGCCCGTGGGCGCCCCACTACGCGGGGTGGGGGTTTTTTGATAGTGTTTTACTCTTTGTGCTCTTCTTTGTGTCCATTTTTTGCAAATAATCGTATGTAAGGATCATATCTACAAAATTTCATAATTTTTTGACATCGTTTTTATTTTGTTTTATTTTTCAAAAACCAAAAATAAAAGAAATCATCAAAAATAGAATATTCCCTAAAAAATGGTGTCATTGGTTGCATTAATTCTTAAAAATCATATATTAATTTTAGAATGTAAAACATAAAAAAAATATAAATTTTTTACCCATCCCGGCCCCTAGGCGCCCCACTACATAGGTCGGGAGCTTTTTGACAATGTTTTACTTTTTTGTCATTTTTTGAGGTCATTTTTTGCAGACATGCCTAGAAAAATGTAAGGATCGTGTCGGAAATATTTCATAATTTTTAGACGTTGTTTTTATTTTATTTCATTTTTCAAAAACCAAAAATAAAGAAAATCATAAAAAATAGAATATTCATAAAAAAATGGTGCCGCTGGTTGCATTAATTCTGAAAAATCATATATTAATTTTAGAATGCAAAACGTAAATAAAAATGTAAATTTTTGACCCATCGCGGCCCCTGGGCGCCCAAGTATGCGGGCCTGGGGCATTTTGACAGTGTTATGCTTTTTTGTCATTTTTTGAGGTCATTTTTTGCAGACATGCCTAGAAAAATGTAAGGATCGTGTCGGAAATATTTCATAATTTTTAGACGTTGTTTTTATTTTATTTCATTTTTCAAAAACCAAAAATAAAGAAAATCATAAAAAATAGAATATTCATCAAACAATGGTGCCGCTTGTTACATTAATCCTAAAAATTATATATTAATTTGAGAATACAAAACATAAATAAAAATGTAAATTTTTGACCCATCCCGGCCCCTGGGTGCCGCACTACGCGGGCCTGGGGCTTTTTGATAGTGTTTTACTTTTTTCGTCATTTTTAGGCCATTTCTTCCGGACACACCCAGAAAAATGTAAGGATCGTATCTGTAAAATTTAATAATTTTTTGACGTCATTTTTATTTTGTTTTATTTTTCAAATAGAAAGAATGAAGTAAATCATGAAAAATAGAATACTCATAAAAAAATATTGCCGTTTGTTGTATTAATTCCTAAAAATTGTATATTAAATTTAGTGTGCAAAATATAAATAGAAATGTAATTTTTTACCCATCTTGGCCCTTGGGCGCCCCACTACGCAGGTCGAGGACTTTTTGATAGCGTTTTACATTTTTGTCTTTTTTAAGGCCATTTTTTGCAGGCATGCCCAAAAAAATATAACGATCGTTTTTGCAAAATTTCATAATTTTTTGACTTCGTTTTTATTTTATTTTATTTTTTAAAAACCAAAAATAAAGAAAATCATAAAAAAATAAAATATTTATCAAACAATGGTGCCGTTTGTTGCATTAATTCCTAAAAATTATATATTAATTGTAGAATGTAAAACATAAATAAAAATGTAAATCTTTAACCCATCCCGACCCCTCGCGCCCCACTACGCGGGTCGGAGGCTTTTTTACCGCATTTTTTTTGTCATTTTTCGAGACCATTTTTTGCATGCATGTCCAGAAAAATGTAAGGATCGTGTCTGCAAAATTTCATATTTTTTTGACATCATTTTTATTTTATTTTATTTTTCAAAGACTAAAAATAAAAAAAATATAAAAAATAGACTATTCATCAAAAGATGATGCTGCTTCTTACATTAATTCTTAAAAATTATATATTAATTTTAGAATACAAAACATAAATAAAAATGTAAAATTTTGACCCATCCCGGCCCTTGAGCGCCTCACTACGCGGCCAGGGGCATTTTGACAGCGTTTTATTATTACTTTTTTGTCATTTTTCGAGGTCATTTTCTGCAGACATGCCTAGAAAAATGTAAGGACCATGTCAGAAAAATTTCACAATTTTTAGACGTCGTTTTTATTTTATTTTTCAAAGACTAAAAATAAAGAAAATCATACAAAATAGAATATTCATGAAACAATGGTGCCGCTTGTTACATTAATTCCAAAGAATCGTATATTAATTTTAGAATGCAAAACGTAAGTAAAAATGTAAATTTTTGACCCATCCCGACTCTTAGGCACCCCACTACGCGGGCCGGGAGCTTTTTGACAGCGTTTTACTTTTTTCGTTATTTTTTCCAGGTACGCCCAGAAAAATGTAAGGATCGTGTCTGCAAAATTTAATAATTTTTTGACGTTATTTTTATTTTGTTTTATTTTTCAAAGACAAAATATGAAGAAAATCATGAAAAATAGAATACTCGTCAAAAAATGTTACTGCTTGTTACATTAATTCCTAAAAATCGTATATTAAATTTAGTATGCAAAACATAAATAGAAATGTAAAATTTTGACCCATCCCGACCCTTGGACACCCCACTACGCGGGCTGAGGACTTTTTGACAGCGTTTTACATTTTTGTCATTTTTTAAAGCCATTTTTTGCAGGCATGCTCAAAAAAATATAAAGATCGTTTCTGCAAAATTTTATAATTTTTTGATGTCGTTTTTATTTTATTTTATTTTTCAAAAACCAAAAATAAAGAAAATCATAAAAAATAAAATATTCATCAAACAATGGTTTCGTTTGTTGCATTAATTCTTAAAAATCATATATTAATTTTAGAATGTAAAACATAAATAAAAATGTAAATTTTTAACCCATCCCGGCCTCTAGTGTCCTACTACACGGGCCGGAGGCTTTTTGACAGTGTTTTTTTTGTCATTTTTTGAGACCATTTTTTGCAGGCACGTCTAGAAAACTGTAAGAATTGTGTCTACAAAATTTCATAATTTTTTGACATTTTTATTTTATTTTATTTTTCAATAATGCAAACCGAATGTGACAAAAACGCTTGAATTTATTCACACAAATAGACAATCCATTAGACTTCTTCCCTACAACGACGTACAGATTGCAAATTACTAACACTAAAGGAATGAGAGGCCAATGGGAGAGAACTAAATCTTTTCTTGAACCAGATAAAAGTTCGAAAAAAAATTAAATGAAAAAAAGGAATGAAAAGAATAAGAACAATAAAAGAATTCTCAACAGCTCTATCCACCTAATAAGAGCAATAAAATTACCGTCCCAGGAATTTCTGAACATCGCACCCCTTGGACATCATTCCTGCACAGGCAAAATCCACATCTACTTCAAAGTCTACTTGGTCTAAGAGTGTGACTACATTTCCACATGCATGAGCTCTCAAACTTTTACAGTTTAGCGCATTCTCTTAAGTTGAACATGCTTTCATATAAATTGGAGGGATTAGTAGATTATTAATGCTTTACTATATAATGGAAAATGGATATACGCATTCCCTTGATCCTCTTTGATATCCAAAATTGAATCCACCCCCTTGATCTACAAACCCAAAAAAAAAAAAAAAAAAAGAAGAAGAGAGAATAAATAAAAATACTCAAAATGTTCCACTCAATGAACGCTATAAGAACTGTTAAAGAATGACCTTGAGGCAAGCTTCTATAAACAATTTATGTTGCATCCTTCAATGAAATGGTCGGTTATCTTTACCATTAGCAGCCCTTGCGCACAACATTTTTTAAACTAAGGAGGTATCCAATGCTAAATATTTTTGTCCAGGATTCCTTTTTGGTAATCTGCTGTTCGAAATAAAGAAAATAATTAGAAATGCGTACTTAGAGGCAAATTATAAAGTAATTGGTCATAAATTTAAGCCTTGGATAATAATATCTAACACCAACATCTGGAATAGAATAGCTAAAGACTAAGTACAAACAATGATAAATACGAAGCTAATGAAGAAATTGTTTCTACATCTAGCATACCTTACTGAAAATTTAAGGAATGCATGGGTGGACACCTGGTCTTGTAATAAGAATTTGAAAAAAAAAAAAAATGAAAGAAAAACAAAAAACTAAAAAAATGTGATCATTCCATAAAAAGACAACACAAACTTTAAGTCTAACATAACGAACGCATAAAAATAAGTTTTATGCAACATTTCAAAAATTGGAACATCTAAGTTCCTTCAAAATGGATTAACGGGGATACAAGAAAGACAATAACAATATATTAATATCTAAATGCTATATTAAATTTAAGAACGTTTACTATTAGAAGGAAAAGAATAGAAAAAAAAATAAAACTTTAAGTTTGTAATCTGTAGTAATGGAACAGATGCTAAAAGACATAAGCTATAAGGAAGGAGAATCCTTTTCCTTCTTCTTTATTTTATTTTAATTTATTTTTTTCAGAAAAATGAGTGGAATAACATCCCATTAAAAGGTGCCAAAGGGTATGAGTAACCAAGTGCAATGAAAAAAACATCACTCGGAAGACAGATTCCAACTACCACTCTTCTGAAATTAAGATACTATCAGAACCTACATCAAACAATTTATTTAAATTACATTTAAGACGAAGTTTTAACAACATACTAACAAAAAAACTTGTTTCAATAATCAATAGGGAAGAAAACAAATAATTATTTCTTTGTGGGTCACTTAAGTGTCCAAAAGTCAAATTATTGTTCGTTCCAAGTTTAATTCCTTCTGACACGTTCAGTTTTAATTTCATAATACATATCACCAAAAAGACTAACTTATGTTTAACTTTTAATACAAGTGACAGCACATACCATATCACTTCAAATAATCTTGACACCAAGTTTACAAGTAAATGAGGAAGGAATCCACGTTGTGGAGATAAAGATAATAATATCCAAAGAACAATAAATCAAAACCGCAAGAACGAGACAAGTAGTTCACAGTTTTTTGCGTTGAAAAACTTATATTCTCGATTAATAGGACATCAACTCTACCAGCTAATTTCAATCAAAATTGAAAAACGCACGAAAAGTTCAATTTAAAAAGGAAGACACAATTGATAAATTCAAATTAAAAAACAAGTTTCCGAAGAAAGAAAAAAATCCCAATGCATCAACCAGATTGGATTTGTAGAGAACCAAGCAATGTTTTCTTTACTAAATAGTGGAAAGGATAAATCCTAAGGACAGAGCAAAAAATTGGAACATAGAGATGAGAATTTGGGAATGGACTTACCAAATGGCCGAACGAAAACAACTGAGACCGTGGATGTGCAGTGCGTGTAAGAGAAATTGGGAGATAAAATTGAATTTTGCTGCTACAGCACAAAAATTGGAAAGAAAAATCTTCTCACGTTTGTTAATCTATGACCATAATAATAGAACACTAGTACACGAAAACATGAAGAATGCAGTTTATTAATAAAAGAAAAGAAAAAAAAAAGAAATGGGTTACTATGTAACGTTATGCAACGAAGTTTTTGATTAGAGAAAGTATCATTCATTTCCTTCTCCGTGAAACCAGAATCCTTCCCAACTGGAGCCATGGCTGAGACAGCGTCGTCAATGACACCGAAATGATCACCAAAAAGGGTCCACTGACTCGGATTTGTGATCTTGCTGGGTCGATTCCTATAGTAGTTGTTACTAAGGTAATGAAATTTAAACATGTGTCTTTCTGTTTTTTAACTGATTTAAATTGTATTGGCGATTCAGTTGTGGAGGCCACTACAAAGAAGCAGCTTAAGCATGCTTGAATTTCTTAGCTTCGTTAATGTAATTTGTTTTGAATGCTATTGGTTTTGCAAAAGGATTCAATTCAGCTGGTCTGATCTATTTTGTGTACTGGGATTATATCTCAACAGTTATGAAAGACAAAAAGCCAGGCTTACAAAAGTAAAAGAAAGATCATATAAAATTTTTCCTCTTTGTCGTGCTTTTATTGTAGGTGACATGTAGAGAAATATTGATCGCACTTGTACACATTCTAAATGCATACAATTAGTATTATGGAGTTGGAGCAACGGAGTTAAGCAATGTAGATTATAACAACCATAATAACTGCCTTGAAAAACCAAAGCCCTATTGAAATATTCATAAAGGTCAAATCCAAATCCAACATTTTCGGTTGTCATTTGTCTTTTAACTCATGTTAGCTAGCTTTATGAAAAAAATTTATACATGGAATCTCTGAACTTCCCACTACAGAAAGATACAAACACATAAAATCAAAATGGAAACAGATGTTCTGTATTACAAATTGTATCTGCCTGCCTTCAAAAAGGGGGAAAAAATGGTATCCTCCTCAATCTAAATCACATTAGACATGTACACTGAGATGACTAAAAATCAGTACCTCCACTTAACTACATGAACTAAATTTTCTGCTATGAGGAAAATCACGTTAGACATTTCTTTTCTTTTTAACCTTTTTCTTTCTTTATTTTGTTTCAAAACAAATGAAAGCTAACAAATAACAAATGAACACTCACTGAAACAATTTAGCAAACACTTACAGCAAACCTTAATTGAACCCAAAACACATACATAACGTTGACATCTAATTCAAATGGAAATCAATCAGAACTATCCTACTCTCTTTCAATAAAGTTTCAAATTTGTTCATGGAGTAGAATTAAGAAACACAGTAACCCAAAATAGCTAAATGCATTGTGCTTGATTTCTAGTACCAAAAAAAAAAGAAAAAAAAACACACACACACACACACAAGAAGGAATTAGAAAATCTCACCTTTGAAGCTGTTGGATTCGAAGGCACCACTTTCATATTCTTCAGCTTCTGACAACAAGGAGTATGAGTGAACTTTCAAGGAATATTGAGCTGGAGGAATTTATCTTTTGGTTCTTGATATTCCTGCAAGAAATAACAATTTTTCAAATTACTATATATAATTATCCCAATTAGATCTAGGCCTTCAGGAAAGTATAATTTCGAACAGAGCCGTGTGGAAAAGTGAAATCCCTGTAGCCGACCCCAATTAAATTAGGCTTAAGGCTTGTTGTTGTTGTTGTACTATATATAATTACCCATAATGAAGTACTCATAATTTGTCTCAAAATTACTCTTTTCCTCAAGAGACAATGAAGCAAGCAAAATGGAACAGGATATACATATCTTTATAGTTAATAAAAACATCATGATCGTTGCATCCATTTAGGTGGGAAAAGAGAAGAGAAAAAAAACAAAAAAAAAAAGAGTGAAACTATGTTCCTAATATTGCTCATTAGTCCACAAACGAAGCATTTTCCCTAGGAAATTGAATGAAAGAACCTTCCTATTTAGGTGGGATAATAGAAGAGAAAAAAAAAGTGAAATTATATGCCTAATATTGCTCATTAGTCCACAAACGAAGCATTTTCCCTAAGAAACTGAATGAAATAACCTTCCTATTGGGATAATAGAAGTGAAACCTTGATGAAAATGTTGATCAGGGCAAGTCCAAAAGTGAAGTTTTTTACCTTGTAAGAAAACAAATGGTCTCTGTGTCAGAAGCAAGGCGAGCAACAGAAGAAAAAGAGAAAGAGGAAGACGAAAGGGGATGAAGCTCTTGTCGCTGACAGTAAGAGCCGCTTGGAGAGAGCATCAGCGTAGAGGAAGATAGAGAGAGAGGCAGAGAGAAAGAAAGAGTCGGAGAGAGAAAAATTCAAGAAAACGACAAAATACATAAACAAAAACTTTGAACAGTGAAATGTGAATAAGTGCACAGTAAGCAAACTGTGCTTTCTCATACAGTTACTAGTTGGAGCCCACGTACTTAGCACGTGTGAGGCTCAATATGAGAGTTACATTTTTTATTTAAAGACTAATTTTGAGTTCTTGAATTCCATTATAAAAATATTATTTTATTATTTTTATTTTCAATAAATGGCTTAAGGCTTGTTGTTGTTGTTGTACTATATATAATTACCCATAATGAAGTACTCATAATTTGTCTCAAAATTACTCTTTTCCTCAAGAGACAATGAAGCAAGCAAAATGGAACAGGATATACATATCTTTATAGTTAATAAAAACATCATGATCGTTGCATCCATTTAGGTGGGAAAAGAGAAGAGAAAAAAAACAAAAAAAAAAAGAGTGAAACTATGTTCCTAATATTGCTCATTAGTCCACAAACGAAGCATTTTCCCTAGGAAATTGAATGAAAGAACCTTCCTATTTAGGT